ATGATTGACAAGTCACAAATTGTCGTATTAAGGAGGGGGCATTGATTCTGCTTATTAGGGAGTCCTCCCTTTATGGCTTTATCTCATAGTTTTATTTTTTATGGGATTTAAAAAATTTTTAAAATAAAAAATAAAATTAATTAAAGTTTATGAATAGCGTTAAAGCTTAACGTTGGCGTTTTGAAAAGGCTATCTACGGATAGCATTTAGCGTTAGCGTTTTCAAAGTAATCTGCGCCGTTAAAATTTTATTTAAAATGCTAACACTAATCTCTAATGTTATTTCCAAACATGCTCTCAATATAACCTTCCTCTGAATGTATTTGTTCAATTTAATTTTTTAAATTAAAACTAAATAAGAATGAATCTCAACTAAATAAAATTTGTAATTTATGTTAGTATAAATTTGATTTTATTAGAGTTATCTTATTCAAAATTTTCAAACTTTTGTCTAATTATATTAATATGCGATACAAATTTAGAGTGATTGATGATTAAATTTTTTCTAGTTTGATTCAAAAAAATAAAATTGGGTGAACACATTTACACAAAGAGAATAATATTTGTGGTTCACATTCATTGTATATTTTTTTTGTATTTTATCTTTTAGCATCAATATTAATTACTCTATACAATAACTGAACAACTGATTAAGTGAAACAAATGTGGGTCTGAAATTGTACCCAAAATGTGGGTCTAAAATGGGCCCCTTTGGCGTGGAAAGACATAGTAAAATAGGCCTCATGTACTGGCCCAATTTTCGAAATATAAAAATCCGCACCTAACAAGAAACATGGCAATAACTTTATTTAATTTCTCAAAATTTATAATTCCATTTTGACTCCTTTTTAAATTGACTTTTCATTTAGAATTTAGGTTCCGTTTTGCATCAACGTTAGAGATTAGCGTCAGCGTTTTGAAAATGTTATCTGACTGGTAGCCTTAGCGTCATCGTTTTCAAAATTAATCTACACCGTTAAAATTTTATATAAAACGCTAACGCTAATCGAAAATGTTGTTTCCAAACAGGCCTTAGCTTTACATTAAAAATCAAGACTTTCGTAAAACCAATTATTTGAAGGTGTAAATGGTCATTTTAGGAAGATAACTTATTAAAACCGATTATTTTACAAATTTTTTATTTTCTTTCAAAAGATAAAATATGTAATTCACAATATTACCTTTTTTCCCCAATATTTTAATTAAATTTTGTTTTTTTTGTTTTTTGGCATCCTGACTCTTCAAATTGCCTAACAAAACTCTCTTTCTGTCTTTTATTAATTGCCAAAACACAGACAACTTATCGGCCTAACGTTTGTCCAGTGTAAATGCATTATCTTTATCCAATGGGCCAGCCTCTGTGCGTCCGTTGGTGTTGGGCCAGCATGCTTCTCTTACTTTAATGGGCCACCATTTCAGATGCCATAAACTTGTAGGCCCCATGTTATAAACAGGATAGTCTTTTACCTGACTGGACATCGGGTACGATTTGACATCGTTTATAAATACTTTTTCCGTTTCCAATAGTTTAACTTTATTTTTTTAAATATTAAAAAAAATACTGTCACTTTGTTTTCTTTTTTAATAATATAAAGATATGTAGTCTATAGTTTTTCACTTTGTTCTAAACAAATTTCAAGTACTTGTTAATTTTATTTAATTTTGTGAAATCATCCTGTGTAAATTAGCTCAGGATGGAAGGAGTATATTTTCTCTTATTTTTTCTTATTTTTTCTCTTTTTGCTAAAACACCAATTCACTCTGTGTGAAAACTTATAATATACCCTTTTCGTCTCAAAAACTTTTTACACATCCCATTTAAAGGTCGAAGTAATTTGTACTTACTTTTATCGATCATTTAATAAAAAAATATAAACATCTTTTGTATTGTAAATTATTTAATGTATTTTTTTAAAATAAAAAAAGTTTTACTTTTTTCAGTCCAATATTAAAATAGATTAAGTGAAAAATAAATTTAGGGAAGTATTTAAATTTAAATTATCAAAACTTTAAAAGAATAGAGGATGTTTTTTTTTGTCGAAACATTGAAAATTAGAAAGTCGGATTTTTATATATAAATAAACTAGCCCAAACCGATCAACCCGGGCTGAATCCGGCCCAGTACTATTCCACCTTAAGAGTAAGAAAAGCTGTGTAGCAAGCTGAAAATTAAGACCTTGATAATGGTCCGACATAAGTCTTTTAAAGAGCCGGATTTAGAAAGCGTATTTGTTAAGATAGTAAATTAAGGCTCTGTTCTGTTCAACTTATTTTTCTGATCTGATCTATTTTTTTGTAGTTCTGATTTGATCTGATTGGATCTGATCTGATTAATTATGATATGATTTGATTTGATTTTATAATAACGTTTGGAAATTGTAATGATAATTCATATTATAATATAATCAACATTTTTTATTTTATAATTATGTTTTAATAAAATAAAATTAGTCAATTTTTATATTAGAATAAACATTCATATTTTAATGTAATAATATTTTTTATTTTGTGATTATTGTTTTGAAATAAGAATATTGATTTAATATTTTAATAGTTAGTTCATACATACATTAGAATAAATATTTAATTTATATAAAATCAATACAGAGAAGAGATAGTATTTTTATTAAAATATCTCATCCTTATAAAAGATCAAAAACTTTAGAAACTCGAATTACAGGTAGGAATAAAAATGTATTTTAAAAGTAGAAATAGATTGACATTGTCAATGTATTTTAAAAATAATTTTTTCAACGTATAATAATTAAAGATTAATTTCTCAGTTTTCTATTTAACTTGTTTCTAAAGTTTATTCTTTTTCATTTTTAAGAATAATAATAATAATAATAATAACAACAACAACAACAACAACAATAATAATTCTTTATGGGATCTGATCTGATATAGTCTGGTCTGATTGGATCTAATCTGATATGATCTGATTAGATTTGGTCTGATCTGATCTGATTTGTTTTGATCTGATCTGATTTTAATAAGAATAAGAAAAAATAAGAAAAAATAAGTTGAACGGAACAAGGCCTAAATCATTTTTAAGAAGATAGCAATTTATTTGTTTGCCCTTGAAACTAAATTTGCACAAAGAAGAATGGGCCGATTCCAATAAATGCTCTTCGTCTCTCAGCAATCACTTTTAGTCTAGAGCCACTGGCGGCAAGAGCTCGAGGGGGCACTACACTAGTACAAGATCCGAGGACAACGCTCTTAGTTTTTCTAAAGATAACGTGAAATAACAAAAAATATAATATTTTATTCGAAAGAAGTATTCACATAATTAAAGTAAAAGAGTTTAAAAAGAATTTCTTTATTGAAATTTTGAATTTCAAAATAATTGTCACTTTAATTGAACATAAAACAAAATAATTTGATTAAAAAAATCGTAACATACACCAACTTAAGGAGAAAAATTGAAAATACTAATTTATCTTCTCCAAATTAAGTTATACTATGTGGGAAAAAAATACGGTAAAAGATAATAGTGAAGAGATTTAGAGACTTACCAAATTTAAAAAGTTTAACTTTTACATTTTTTTTATTTTTTTGTACATAAATTGAGTATAAATTTAGTAAACTACGGGATATAATTTTTAAAATTAAAGTATAACATTTTAAAACAAAGAACAAATTAACTAGCCATTAGCTCCTACAAGAGAAATTTGTCGTTTTTGTACTCCGTATTTTTTTGTTATTCTTTGGGCAATTGGCAATTGCCGCAATTGGGCTATGGGCTGGGTCAAAGTCCAAAGGAGTTATTTTAAAACCAACTTGAAACGACGCTGTTTTTTTCTTTCTTCCGCGACTGCAAGTCGACAACTGTTCTTTTTCTTCGATGTTCTGTCATCAACTGCCGGACAGTGACAAATATGGGGGGCAAATCTGGCCTCCCATCGCCGATTCACGGCGGCACTATGTCGGTAGTACTATGTCGGAAAATCGCCGGGGGGGCAAGTGCCCCATCGTGCCCCCCCTCTCCTCCGCCCCTGTTTAAAGCAATATGTTTAAATAAATCAATCATTAGTCAGAGAACTTGTAATACTTGATACACTATATCAATTTTATATTGCACAAGAGAGAGTCACACTCCAAAAACTAGTTATTAAGTTAGAAAAACTCTTGACTATATAAACCACACACCAATCCCTTATTTGACCGGTGTGGGATCACTATTTAGCTCGTATCTTTCAACCCCCCATAACGTCCTCGTTGGTCACGACCACGTTGGTCACAAATGATTTCACTAGGTCACCACTCTAGTGGCGGAGCAGGATGCAATAGTAGTGGATGCAAAAGAGAGAAAGATATTCATGTCTAGTGGTTATCGAAGGTAGAAGACATTTTAATAAAAATAAACCTCACAATAACATATATTGATAAAAATAAATAAATAAAAAAACATACTTGGAAAATATCACAAGTAGAGAATTTATAGGAGGGGATCTGTAGAACTGAAAAGACGTTCATCACACTGAATATTCATCATCATCATCTTCTTTTCTTACTCTTCTTCTTATATGAAATTGAGCAGTATATAGTACTCCGTAGTATATAGTATTAAAATATCAAGTTGGAAGTGACTGCAATTGCAGTTATTTGCTTCCACTTGGCTTCGCCCCTCCACCACTCCGTAGGCTACTACTTCGAGTTTGCTCTGATACTGCTGATACAATACATACTGGAGAGAATACACCGCAAAAACTAGCTATTGATGTGGGAGAATCCGTGGTTATATAACCCACACTAATCCCTCATTTGACCGCTGTGAGATTGCTATTTAGCCCGTATCACAATCACTATTTATATTAATTGGCTAAGTAATCTTGATATTGAAATCTAATGTCATAATTTAAGTTTGGACATATTTATGATGCTCTGTTCGTAGAATTAATTACTTTACCCTTAAAACACAAAATCCCAACCCCTATGGATTATTGACTGGCGGTAGTAATATACTACTCGTGTTAATTTCAACCGATGATACTATTGCCAATTGGTGATGGGTATAGTTGGTGACTTGGTGAATCAATTTGAAATTTCTTATGAGCGGGCCTGAAAAAAATACAGTGGGGTTTGGATCGGGCCAAACTTGATCAAACAAATCTTTAATAATTATCGCCAAAACCTCCGGCCCATATCCATCTCTAGCCCGGATGATGAGTCAGCTTCTGCCCTCCCACGTGGCAACCTCTCAGGCCCATCATCTCTTCTCTTTTACTCAACAATCGTACAAAGGATAGCAAACGACCTCTCCGGCCCTCTCTCCTCCTCGCCGAAAATGGCGCGACCGACCACATCTCAGCCTACCTCCTCCTCCAACTCCCGCCCCGGCACGGCGGCGCCGCGAGGATCGGCAGCCGCCACGGCCGGAATGCGCCGCCGGAGGATCGGAGGAGCATCCGCTGTCTGCTCCGGCGCCGGATCTCCCGGGAACTCGAGCAACATGCTCAGATTCTACACCGACGACGCTCCCGGACTCAAGATCAGCCCCACCGTCGTCCTCATCATGAGCATCTGTTTCATCGGCTTCGTCGCCGTCCTCCACGTCTTCGGCAAGTTCTACCGCTACGGATCTGGCGGCGGCGCTTGATTCCCACGCGCACTGGCGATTCTCGGATCAATAAGGCCTCCGGTGTCACGGATTCTGGTAATTCGACCTGCTTGGGAAGGAATAACGTCGATCTGTAAATTCTTGTTACGATTCTCTCTCGTTTCTCTGAATCTGAGTTTCATTAGGGTTGAGTATGACACAAATTTTAAAAAGAATAAAATTGTGGAATTGAAAATGAGAGAAAAATCTAAGCCACACAAAATTTGCCAAATTTGAAAATATGAGTCTTTCTTGAGACGTTATACTTCTTGGGAGAAAGACTAAAATATAATGACTTTCTCAATAGCACGATCATATGTTTTTATTTTCCAATGTTAGACCATATATCATTATCTATTAGTCATTATTCAACTAAATGTCCAACATCACTCGGGCATTATTTTTCTCACTAATCATTATTAAGTCCTATTTAGGGAATAAAAAAACATAAGTCCTACATTCGGAAATGACTTATGTTTTAGTCGTATTGAGTGCAAATTTCACATATAAAAAAAGAGAAGGAAAATTTAGAAGTTTTGAGTTAACTCTCTTCATTTGCCTTTACCATTAAAGATTTAAAGTTGCTCTTAGTGATTGCAAGCTTGTTGTTACGCATAGGTTTGTTGTATTTGACGTTAGCCTCACCGAGAACCTTATCTAATTAATCTTCACCATGAAACATACATTCATAGTAATATGTATCATTAAAATATTATCTAAAATTTTTAACACAAGCAAGTCATGGTCAAGTTTAGATTTTGAAAAGATGAATCCGAGTGCCAGAATCATATTCCTTCCGTCCCATATTCTTTTCATCTTGACTTTCAAGATAAACGCTTTTAAACTTTAAACGCAAATTACGAAAAAAACACATTGAATTGCGATATAAAATTAATATTAAGAGATTAATTTTAAAACATAGTTTTGGAATATCATATGAAATAATTTCAAAAGAGCCGGGCCAAATTAGTTCTTTGGAAATGACAAGTACTCCGTACTATATTTAACCTGAGATCTATGAAAACCTTTTTTTTGCAAAGGATCTGGAGTAGAACGATCTTCATGAAAAAATATGAACGTTTTAACTTGGTAGCCGGGTTAGGACTTTTCTAAATTCAGTCTCAATCTAGTCTTTTTTACAAAAGATCATTAGTTATAGTCTAATCTAGTCTCTCACTTAATTTGAAGGACAATGCGGGACTACGTCTGGTTCGAGTCTCGAACCACTTTGATTTCTTCGTTTGTTTTCTTTAGTTCGATCCCCAGATAGTTCTTAGAATCATTTTGCTCTTCGCTAGTTACTACTCAATTATATAGGTCCTCAGAGTAGGAGTTCTCGAATCCAGATAATTCTGGGACTAAGGTTACCAAAACTAATACTCCCCCGTCCCTAAACGCTTATCACACTTGTATTCTCGAGGTAAAACATCTAGTTTTTTCAATTCATTTCATTTAGATATTGATATAGAAATAAAAAATAAAACCTACATATCAAAAAACTACATGAAAAGTTTTTCGAAATAAGAAGTGTCGAGAATATTTTATTTTATCAAATAACCAATGAAAACGTAAAAATAAACAAAAGTTTCTGCAACTGTTGAAAAAACAATTGTGGTAAATATTTTGGGACGGAGGGAGTACTACTTATGTCACCGAGTATTTTGTTTAATTTTAATTTTTACAGCCACCTAATTTCAACTTTTGAACTATAACTAAATAAAATATATATGGTACTACCTCTGTCACAATTTATATCGTCTGTTTTGGTTTACAATGTTTGACTGAAATTGTTTTTTTCAAATTATTTTTTTATCAAAACTCATGTAGGATTAAAAAAAATTACATATTAAAATACTGCATCGAGAGATTTACAAAACTAGTAGTGACATTACTGTTTTATTTCATCAAATGGCTAACGAAAACAGGAGAGAAGTGCATGATGTTTGACCCAATGAAAGATATGTTAGACGCCTCGCACACCTCTAGAGGGGGGGTGAATAGAGGTGTTGCTCAAAAGACCGGTTTTTTTTTGCGCGGAAACGTTCTTCATGAATATTCAACAAAAACAATGCACCACAAACAAAATAAAGTGAAGGATAAGAGCAATGCACACACGATATATACTGGTTTGGCCTAAATGCCTACATCCAGTCCCCGAAGCAATCGTGCCCAGGCCTTCACTAACCCGTCAAACTTAACGGAGTTTGACAATCCGAATACAACTCGAGAACTTGATTTCACAAGCCTCTTATCTTACCACCGAAGTTTTGATTTCACAAAACTCAGGATTTCTTCCACCTAACGTTTGATTTCACAAACCGTTAGGATTTCTACCACTTGGTGTAATCCCAACACCAAGAATACAAATCCCTTACATTAAAGTAAGAAAACAAACCGCAACTGAGTAATTCTCCCAACACGGAGTAGATTGTTGCAAATACAATGAAGTCCTTTAGAATATGGCAATATCTCTCAAAAACTCAAGCAATGAGGAAAGACTCAAGCAAGAAATGA